TTTTTTTTTTTTTTTTTTTTTTGGCTCTTTAATTATGTACCCTTCAATATTTTGCTTCTGAACCTTTATGTGATCTTTTTTGGTGTATGATTCCCACGTTTTATGTTTTCTGTGGCTGATTTTTAAAGTTGAAATCACCTAGTGAAATTAACTCTTTGCAAAAAAAAAAAGTTTTGGTAAATACACCATGGCATTATACTTAAGAAACACATTCCCATTGTAGTTAGTACTTGACCCACGACATCATTTGTGATGGTAGGAAAATGAAGGTTCCAAAAATATCCAAGAAAGACTGATGTAGGGTTTTTATTTTTGTTATTAAAATGGTTCCAAAGGTGTTGCTTCATGACCCCTTTGATGATTGTGAGTTAATGACATCTCTGCTGGGTGAGCATGCTCAAATTAACAACCTTCTCTTGAAAATGTCACCATTGATTCACATTATTTCTGCATTCAATTTTCAATTTCCGATAGAAGTTTACATCAATTCACCCTCAGCAATGTAGCACTTTTTGGTTGGGGGCTTACCTCAACCACTTTCTAAGATCAATGGTGGAGGGTGGAAAGGCTTCTTCCCCAATGCTATCAGTACAACAAGAAGAGATATTTGACCTCTGCTCCATGCCAAAATGTCCTCCTCCACGGCTGCAGCTCTTGTATCTTGGACTCCCCATGTTATATTCATAAATGCGATCATTATTGCCATCACTAATGCATGGTTCAGGAGCTGGAAATGACAAGCGTTTCTTGGCAGCAGAACCCACCTTTTCCTTCTCATGGGTTGAAGGTCTCTGCTTTGGTGCACTTAGTGACCGGAGCCGAGCCTTAGCAGATGCTGTGGCAGTCATGTAATTTGGAAGTGCTGCAGCAGCTCCAGCAACACTACTTATTCTGTGGTTGTAGGAGGATACTAGGCTTGGAGTTTGAGGTGTTGGGTGGCTTCTATCTTCTCTGAGGCACCGAGGGCTGGCAGAATTCACTTGAAGAGGAGCCTTTACTCTTGATGGAGATGGTGTGGCTTTGTGGAGGGGAGAGACGGCCGAATATGAGCTAGGCCTTTGTTGTTGATACTGTTGGTAGTGATGCAGATGGTTTGGCTTATGAGAATTGGAGGCTGAGAAAGAGTAAGGTCTGGATGTGTCAATTTCAACAGTTTTTATGGGTTCTCTTTGATAATTATCACAAGAAATTCTTCCTCTGCTCTCCCATTGCTTCCTTGTTGTCCACCTATCAACCCATCGAGGTTTCTCATCTAGCTCTTCCTCACTTTCACCCTGCAGGTCTCTGTCATTTCCCCATATCTGTCATCAAACAGTTGAAACAAGTAAGAAGTCTTTTCAGTTCTGTTTTCATAAATTTAGCAGAGAAGATTGCAGTTAGAATTTGAAGGAGAAAACCTGTTGGGAGAAGGCATGAGCAAGGGAAGTTTCTCTTTTCATGGTAGCTTCCTTTGTTTTCTGCAACATGACTTGAATCTCCTCCAGAGTTTTTGGGTTGTTATCCCACTGGATCCAATCATCTAGTCTGCTACTTTCATCTCTAGACTGCATGATTCAAAAGGACAATGATAAATCACGAGAGGCTTTTACTTGAATTATGAAGATTACCATAAGTCATTCTGGAAAAAATCCGTACAATGGATTTTCTATCTGTAAGATGTGAAACCCAGAAGCTGTTGTTTGTGTCACCTGACATGGAACCTGCACTGTCTTCATGAGAAGAAAACCTCTTACGTTGGTCACGCACGCGGGCTTGCACTCTAACCAGGGCTTCCATGCACCTCAGAGTCACATTTGCTCGTTTTCTAACATTGTAGCCTCTCACTAGGGCTTGCAGCTTCACCAGCCCCTTCAGTGCCCGGAGAGCTCTCCTCGCCTTCAAAAACCACAACTATGAGTCTCTTTGGTTAAAAAAAAACAAGTGCAGAACAAATGTATTCCTCTGTTCCTCACCAGATAACCCCTGAAAGCAGTCTGAATAACAATGGCAGCCAAGTGTTCTCTGACAAAAATGGTAGGCCTTGTGAGACGAACAACTTCTACCGCAGCTTGTGCTGTTGCTACTGCCGCTTGAGCGGCTGCTGTGGTGGCTATGGCAACCGCAATGGCGTGTCTTTGCTCTGCATTAGCAGCTTCAGGATTAACAGCACTCTTCAGTACGGCTGAGTTAACCGCATTAGTACCGTTTGCTTTAGTATTATTAGCAGTAACTGTTATGGTCCTCCCTTCACGATGATGTTGTTGTATATTCGCTTCCTGAGTTGTACTCTTCTTCAAAATCCATCTTCTTTTTCCTCTTTTCTACCCAAACCAAAAACAATGACATTGAAGATAGACTGAAGATAGAAAGTTAAAATATATATATATAGCAACAGAAATGTAGAAGTAGAAGATTAACCTTTTCTTCCTCCTCTTGTTCATGATCTTCTCTCCTCTTACTGCTCTTCTTTTCATTCTCCTTTGTAGGAGACCTAAAGGCCCGCTTCACTGCAGTGAACCAGGAGTTCCCCCCGGGTTTTCCCATTGAATTGAAGAACAAATTAACTAGCTACAAAGAGCAAAAGCGAAGTTAGCTCTTAAATATAATGCCTAGCTGGCTAGATTATAGGCTCTTCTCTGTATAAGGTTGTTGGTATATTAAATGCAGAATGCTGGGTGATATAAATGAAAGGAAAGGGGAGAAAATTCCGAGGCCTGAAAACTGAGTAAGTCCATGCAGTTAGGAAAGAAAAGGAAAGAGAGGACCGTTCTGCATTATGTTAATGCATGTAGAGTTAAATGGCGTGGCAGCATATAATGCTAAAAGATATAGTGTTTTCTTGTGGCATGGAGAAGATGGGGGTGTCAGAGGGCATGAAAGAGAGTGAGTTTCTCTCTCGATAAAGCTGAAAGTTGGGTAGGAGAGGAGGAGAGAGTAAGCTTTTGCTTTCATGTTTCAGAAACATAATAACTGAGCAACTCTCATGGCTCTTTCACCTTTCATTCACGTGTATGAGAGCTGCTGCTACTGATAGATGATTGTGCCCCTTTTGGGGAATTGAGATAATTGAGAATTTTTTTTTTCTTCAGGGGGATTTCAAGGTTATGTTGGTAATTTGAGGGGGTTGTCTTGAAACGTGGCATGATGTGATTGGGGTAAAACTAGATGATTAGGAGAGAGAAAAGTAAGTTCGTAGACCAGTAGTCAAAGCCAAGTTGGATTGTTTTTGCCTGTATTTGTTTTTGGAATTTTTGGGATACAGAGGAGAGGATTTATTGCTTTGGCTGGCTAAAGCTCCTCGGATTCGCATTTTGGTGGTCCTACTGGACCTCGCAGGCAGCTTTCGTTTCCCTAAGTAAAAAGTTACAGGGAGAGGGAGAAAGAAAATATTGCTTGGACTGTAGAAAGGGAGCAAACCAAACTTGGGATGATGGTAAAAAAATAATAGTGGAGAAAATTCCATAAAGAATGTTTAGGACAGATATATTATATATTGTCGTCTTCTTTTTCTTCTTTTTGTTTTTTGGTCGGTCATGTTTGGCTTGTTTCTAAGACTGCTAACATTTTACTTTCTATAAAAATGGATTCACGTCTATTGATTATTATTATTATTATTATTATTATTATTATTATTATTATTATTATAGGTTGTGAGCAATTATTTTTTACTTTTTAACTTATTTTACCTATATATTATATGATTTAAATTTAAAGTTTTTTATTTTTACCAAAAAAAATTTATTTTTGAACTATTTGAACCGTGAACAGATTTATTATTCTTATAATAAAATTTCATAGTTTAAGATGAAAATAATTTTTTTTATATATTAAGTTATACAACGAAATATAATTATTTTTCATCTCTTAACTCACTTTACTCGTATACTATACAATTTAAATTTATGATCTTTTACTAGCACTAAAAAGATATTGTCATTTAACTATTTAGATTATTAACAATATGAAAATAGTCTTAATATTAAATATATATAAACTACTGCAACAGCAAAATTTTTCCTAAAATTCTCAAATAAATATATGTTGAACTTAAAAAAATTCCTTTATAAATACCTAATGGAGTTTAAAAAATCATTAATAAATATCCAATGGCTTTTAAAAAATTATCAACAAATACTCAAAAATATATTAAGTATTACAATAGAAAAATAACTGGTACACTCTTCAATTCAATACACCCGTTAATATTTACCAATTCAACCATTAAAATTTAGAGTTTTAAATCTTTTTATCTTTAATTCAAATTTAAAAATACCAATTTCTTAATAAATGTATTATGAAGTATGTCAAACTGGAGAGTATTTGTATGAGTGTCCACTGCAATAAATCCAACTTTAATAGAATTTAATTTTTTATTAATTTTATTCACACAATATAATTAATAGAATTTAATTTTTAATATCTTTCCAATTGTATAACATTAGGGCTGGTCTTTCCAATTATATAATATTAGGTCATAAATTATTTTCTATTTATACATGGATGGAAAAAAGAACAAAATAGAGACAAGAGCAGCCACCGGGAAGTGAAATAGGAGAGAAGAAAAAATAGAAACAGAGAAGTAGAGGGAGGACTATGATGACAATAGTTGAAGGCAATTTCATTCATCAAGTTCGTTTCTTACCTCTAGATAATTTTTAGAGATTTTGTATTTAAATTCGACTAGATTTTGTCTTTTAATTCAATTTTAATTCTCATCTTTTATTTTCTTTTTTTAACCAAGTAATATTTATTTCCACATTCATGTGTATTTTGATAAAGATTTGTACATATGAACCACAAGAGATATATACCATTAGATGGAGTCCAACGTACAAGATCTGCAGGGACAAACAATACTAAGTAACCAGCAATTTATTTATTTTTTATCAACAATCCTAATCAACAATTAATTCTTGCAAGGTTAAAAAAAAATTATGGAAAAAAAAGGCGAAGGTAAAAAAAAAAAGAATAAAAAGAAGGCATCTTTTGTTTTTGTTTTTATTAAATATACTAACCATGTCTGACTTGTGAAATATGTCGGTAATTCTATGTTTTTGTTTTTATTAGATATACTCCCAGTGCAACAAATATGA